AAGCGAGAGGGAACATGTTTCTGTGTGTGAGTATATGTACGTGTGTTTTCGTGAGTCGGCACAGAATTACAGGTAATAAAGGCCGCGCGGAAAGGAGATTTTTCTCGTGAATGTGCGCGCGTGTCGAAGAGAAACACCTTGAATCGGATAACTTTATACAAATTATGCTCTTAAAGATCGTGTAAGTGTTTTTTCCTATTTTTTCTTCTTTTCTTTTTTTGCTTTTTTTTTTTAAGTGATTTGCTAAATATCGACGGTCGTAGGGGTGAAAAGGCCGGTGAACGGGAAACTTCCCTTGCAATTCCTTTTATTGTCATCTGGAACAAATTGCAAGAAGAACACAGATTGTACTCTTGATCAAGATCATCAGGCGTGACCATACCGATCGATCCTCAACTATACTCGCACCTCCTTTTCAATTGTACGGCCGTCAATACGATATCGACCATTATCTATCCACATTTTCATTCGTTTGTCGCCCTCCCTGTCCTTTTTTCTCTTCTTCTTCTTCGATTTTTACCTCTTCTTGCTTCTCCTCCACTCTTCTTCTTCTTCGTAGTTTCGATTTGGAAAAAATGAGAAAATAATTGGTAGAGGATATACGCGAGATTAAAATGGTCCGCAGAAACGTTCACTTTCCTTACGAATCTTCTTCGGTATGGTCGATGAACCGACAGGTTACGCTCCTTTTTCTCTTCTCTCTCTCTCTCTCTCTTTCGATTTCGCCGGCACATCGCGCGGACACACAGAACGTGTGTAAATTCGTTAATTTACTTTCGGTGCAACGTCCACCACTTCCGGTTCCGTATCCGCAGATATTCGCATGTACGCCGGACGCATACGCACGGATCGATCGTCGTGGAAATGTCCGTGCGGAAACAAGAATCTTCCACATTCGTATCTATATATCTTTATTTCGCTTTTTTCACTTGTAATTTTATAAAATTCGTCCCGAGGAAAGGACAAACGATACACAACGCTCTCAGTATGTTCGAACGTGGCGAAAAAATCTGCGATCTTGCTTTCTTTTTTCTGGACGGAAAGGGAACGAGTTACATTTCTTTTCTCTCTTCGAACTTCGTGTTACAACGTCGACTCTCGGCGATCCTCCAAACGGAATATCGAACGCAGCGCAGATTTGCGACAGGCGAAACGTTCTGTTCACCGAAAGAAGAAGAAGAAGAAAAGAAATAAAAAAAAAAAAAAAAAGAAAAAAT